ACAAAATATATGAACTTCATATATTTCATTGTATCTCATTTATCACTTTCACGGGTTTATTACGAATCAACTTAACGGCCTGCTCCCAGTTGGCTTGTTAGCTCAATTGGTAGAGCGCTGCACTAGTATCGCAGAGGTCAGTGGTTCGAATCCCGTACAGGCCTGATTTTTTTCAGGTCTGATTTTCGCTATTGCTTAAATAGCGCTATCTACTGCGAGGATCGTGCATCATATGTAGGAAATTATAAGTTTAGGCCAAGAATTTTATTCAGCACGAGTTCAAAATCCTAAAATACACTTTCGTCGTAAATTTCACGGCAGAAACGCAGGAATTCGATGAATAAAAGTCGCATTACATCTCCTTGTGTCTAGGTAGAAAGAGTCTCTTTGACTTCAGCATTTCGGAGGAAGAATAACCGATTTACGCACGCCATTACAGAAAACAAACAAGCAGACTGACAACTCCAAAACACATATTCGCATTCACTTACAATTTGACTTTCCGTGACATTTTAAAACGGAACAGAGGTAAATCTTCGAAGATTAATCGTCGTTGGAAATAAAAAATACTTTCCGTAAGATCTCTGTCTTTCTCTTTACGAGAAAATCGTCGCATGATCATTTAACTCGTGCGCGTTGTCACACCAGTGCTGCTGTTTAGCGTATGCTTCTTTACTCTTCAATTGACAGGTGTCACATCGTCACAGTTACTTATCAAAAAAGTTTTTCAAAATGTGCTCGGAAGCCTTTAATTACCTTTACAAAGAAAAATGTTTCGGCGAAAGCTTTCTCTTTAATTTGAAGAACCCGAATGATTTAGGGCTACAATTACGAGTTTAATTACAGGAAAATCCTCCTTGAACTTAACAATATGATAGCGAGTGAGTTATAAGGAAAACAAACTTTATTCAAATTAAAGAGAAAGCTTTCGCCGAAACATTTTTAATTTGTAAAGGTAGATAAAAGGCTTCCGAACAAATGTTCAAACATTTTTTTGAAAAGTAACTGTCACGATGTGAGATATGTCAATTGAAGAGTAAAATAAGCATACGCTTTTGAAGAAACAGCAGTACTGGTGTGACAAACACACACAAGTTAACTGATCAGGCGACGATTTTCTCGTAAAGAGGAAAACAGAGATCTTACGGAAAGTATTTTTTTTTTCCAACGACGATTAATCTTCAAAGATTTACCTCTGCTCCGTTTTAAAATGTCACGGAAAGTCAAATTGTAAGTGAATGCGAATATGTATTTTGCAGTTGTCAGTCTGCTTGTTTGTTTTCTGTAATGGCGTGTGTAAATCGGTTATTCTTCCACCGAAAGGCTGAAGTCAATGAGAATCTTTCTACCTAGACACAAGGAGATGTAATGCGACTTTTATTCATCGAATTCCTGCGTTTCTGCCGTGAAATTTACGTGTATTTTAGGATTTTGAATTGGTGCTGAATAAAATTTTTCCTTAGCCTTAACTTATAAATTCGTTTGTATCTGGTGCATGTCAAACTCATGTGTAGCTTAAAGGTCAAACAGGGATTGTCACTCGCTAAATTGGCTCGCCATTAAGTCTTGTGATCGCTTTCGTATGAAATTGTTTTGTTGTTGTTGTTGTTGTTGTTGTTAAGTCCGCGTTTTACTAGTCCGCGTTTCACTAGTCCGCGTTTTACTAGTCAGCGTTTTACCAGTCCGCGTTTTACTAGTCAGCGTTTTACTAGTCCGCGTTTTACTAGTCAGCGTTTTACTAGTCCGCGTTTTACCGGTCCGCGTTTTACTAGTCAGCGTTTTACTAGTCCAGTCCAGTCCAGTCCAGTCCATGAAAAACCATATGCCTCGTTTTAGAGACAAATATATGGAAAATCAAAATCTTAATTTGCGGCTTTCTTCGCGAGACTTCATTTCTCAAATTTGATCGGTAAACTGGTAGGTCTGGTATCTTTAGTTTCTAATTCATAGAAATTGCACGATGTCAACCTTCCTCAAATTATCGAGTATCATTTTCTCAACTTTTCCCATACATTCACTGTACATTTTGCGTTCGCCCCAGCAGTTTTGCACCCCTGGCAAAATGGCGGCGTTAACCTTGAAAGGGTCTATTCTTTACGCACTGTTCTCTTGTTATTTCAAAGTCGGGGTCTCAGACGGTTGTATGAAAATTGATCACTGACTGATGAGATGTAGGTGGTAAGATTTCAGATTCGCTTTTGTAAACATCGTCAATTACAGATTAGTAATATGTACTGCAGCTTTACCTCTCTGAACCACAACGAATTAAGAGAGCATTTGACCAAACAACGAATTTCCCTATCATCTCGTAAACTGAGGGTTACATAATCTATTAAAAAAGGGAGGGAAATTTTGCGGTGAAAAGAAATTAATCCGGACTCTTCAGCGCCAATTTGCCTGGTAAATAAAAATTACACTTACGTCATATGCCGAATTACTTGTCGAATTCCGCTCACCTCCTGTTCATTTGACTGGGAGTATGTGTACAATAAGTAGATCACGGAAAGCAAGAGAAATATCCAAAGAAGGCGGTCGAGAAACCCACGATGAAAGATCCTCATCTTTCTTGAACATTCCTACAAGATAAACGGCGGTGAGATCTCGCAGGAACTGCTGATCACGGCTCCTATACGTCATCGATGGCAGACCGAAGTTTGCGACAGATATCACGTTTCATCGGCATTCTTTGGTTGCACTCAAATTCTGGGTTTTTTTTTTTAAAGTGGGGATCGAAGGGGTTTTTTTTAAGCGGGGAGGGAAGGGGAGGTAGGGGCTTCACGTGACTTCTCGAGGAACGGCTGTGAAACTGAAACGTGTTGAAAGCGAATTTATTCTTGATTAATGGGGTAAGTTCAGTTTCGAAAGGGTAACGCGCGAGACGTCATCTTTACTAACTCTTTACATTATCACGTTAGTTGATAAAACCAAATTAATTATCATAATCCCTGAATAGTTTTCTTTCAAAGAATCAACAATGCGCATTTTAATATTTCGTTCACTGCAAGTCACTTCCTATACAAGTCTTCCTGCTCTTAAGCTCGCCTGCCAGTAGTTGTTAGGATGCTTGGCAAGGAAAAACGTTACACTCTTCCTCTCTCTCTGCAAACGAAAACTCGTCAAGCCGGAAAATAGGGATATGCGTGTCCCGGAAACGTCTCTCTCCAGGCCCTCTGGTTACCGTAGCATCATCTTTCACCCCCCGGATCTTACGCCCGGGCAGATGGGCCGATCGAGACACTTAAGTCTCTTTATGGTTAAATTATCATTGGCTGAATTGCAAAATATAACATAAGCATTTATTTTGGAAAGTTATAAGCTGTAATTTTCTGAAGTTATCCGTAAAATTATAGATTAACTATGGTAAAATTAATCGATAATCAGTAACCGCGCGCAGTGAGAGCGTTCTTGACTAGTTCCCAGGTTACACTCAGTTATCTTTGATCAGGAAATCCGTGCGGATACTGCAACCTTATCTGCCTCCATTGCTCTTGTAAATTGTGTATACTTTTTCCATATACAGCCCAAAAAGACCAGTTCTAGAGGTGGAAATTACATGATGGCAAAGCGAAAGATGATTATCGATTGTGATGCCGGCATCGATGACGCTCAAGCTATTCTCGTAGCATTGGCTGCTCCTAATGTTGAAGTGGTTGCGATCACGTGTGTCGCTGGCAATACAACTATTGAAAACGTTTGTGTGAATGTGCTTAAAGTTTTGGAGTTGTGCAATCGAACAGATATTCCTGTCTTTAAAGGAGCCGCTGGTTCATTGTTAGGTGAGAAGCTTTATGTAATGCATTACTCCAACGATCTCCGTTGAATTCTCCTTACTCTCTTCCGTATAATTCTTATAATGCTAGTTATGAGACTTTGGTTTTGGATCAACCAATAATCCCCAGCATTTTAGTAGTGTATAACTTGTGTGTGCCTCCATCTCAGGATCTGGCTTTGTAGCTCTATAGGTTGTGGTACCCAACTACAGTATTATTTGGGAGGCATGGGTCCATTCTCAACAAGGCCTGGATTTCAGAATTCTTTTTTCTGCCAAGATGTATTGCAGTTATCCAATGAAGATGAATTCATTAATTGAATTTTGTCATTATGTATGAATATAGAAGAGACATAGTCTGAGTGAGCAGGAAAAGCCTTGGGAATGGGCGCCTCTCCCTCAAATAGTTGTATACCAGTTTGTTCTACCCATCTGGGTCTTGATTATGGAAATCATGATCCAGAAGGAAGTATTGTTTTTGATGATGTTTCCTAGAACTTGTTGCAGTTCATGAATCTTGCAAATAAGTTCTGGAACATCTGTGACATGTCTTTACAATGACCTGACAATTACCTCCCCCCTAGAAGAATACTTTAATTATAACTGTATTGGTAAAAAATGATTATTATATGGAAGATAAATAAGCAGTTACTCGCAAATGGAGTACCTAACATTGAACATTGATCAATTCTCTGACTGTAATTTCAGCCCAAACTATGTTTGAGGACCCCCTTCCCTGCTCTTCCCTTAAAGAGGGGGGGGGGGGCAGGGCAGCTTAAATCTTGTCAAAGTCAGTTATTTGATATGATTGCCTACTGTTATATGGAATCCCTGAATCCTATGATTTTTAGCTTATGTACAGAAAAATTTTTTTTGGTAGATGATAGCAAGGGTTCTGCTTCTCATTTTCATGGCAAGGATGGCCTTGGAGACGTTAAAGACATTCCTGACCCAGACATGTCACTACTGAAGACTGAACATGCTGTGAATGCCATGATCAGAATAGTAAACGAGCATCCTGGAGAAATCACCTTGGTTCCTCTGGGACCATTAACTAATGTTGCCCTTGCATGTCGACTTGATCCAGACATTTCTTCCAAACTAGAAAATGTGGTGATCATGGGGGGGAACTTTGAGGCCAAAGGGAACACATATGTGAGTGCTGAATTCAATTTTCATTTTGATGTGGAAGCTGCTTACATAGTGCTGAATAAGCTCACCTGTCCAGTCTCCTTGGTGACATGGGAATTTTGTCTAAACCATGCATTATCTTGGGATTTCTATGACTCGTATATCGGACAAGGGACGAAAAAATCTGATTTTATACAAAGGATTTCTCATGTCTCAGCCTCATTCTACAAGGAAAACAAGAGAGGCTTTGGACAGGGCTACACAAGTTGCGATCCTCTTGCCATGTCAGTAGCTGTCAAACCAGAGATTGTAACCGAGGAAACAAGTGTGTATGCCACGACAGAGCTACATGGGCACTTGACTCGAGGTCAAATGGTTGTGGATTGGAGAGGTCATCTTGGAAAGAAACATAATATTATGTTAGTTCAAGAGGTTGATTTGGAAGCTCATAAAGTTTTGATGATGAACTCCTTGAAATAATTACACATAAAAAGAGGAATAAGAACCAAAGACAATTGTAGCTGGCCTAACCTGGATGGACTACACTTAGGGAACTAAAAGTGGCTTCTATCTAATTTCATGTTATATTGTTATAACTGAATCAAACAGTAAGCTCCTGTGAATAAAGAAAATGATCACCATCTTAAGCTCTTAATTTTTCAACAAATTGTTCCAGCCAGTACTGCAGGAAGTGTATAGAGAACAATAGGGAGAATATGCCTTTTGATGTTACTGGCTTAATAGCAATTATATCCAAGAATCCTTTCTAGAATTTTACCTTAAGTTTTGAAAGTAGGATTATGGACCAATCTATAAGCATAGTGAATGTTATGTGCCATTTCAAGGCTGCAAATAACCAACGGGCAGTTGCCGGTCACATTGTCTGGTCAAACATGCTTTTGCTGGGACACTACCCGTTTTTGGCCGGACAAATTTTAACAGTCGGAACTCTTGCGATAGTGAACCCAGATTGCACAGTAATCCCTTTACAACTAAAAAACAACTGAATCCAAGTCGGTCTGGCAATAAAAATTACAAGTTAATAATTTTACTACGCTTTACTGCAGAAGCAGCCAAACAAATTCTCTTTTTATATATCTTGACTTTTTTTTGTTTTTGTGAATTTTTGTTAGAGTAAAAGAGTGGTAGGATTCTCCAGGTTTTGGGCATTTTGCTTGCTTTTTGCACTTTGCAACAAATGCTACTTGGAGTATTCTTGATGCAGTGGGATTATTCTTCGTGAGGGTGCTCAGTTTCTGATCATTCAATCAATCAAACAATCAGTCACTTTATTTAAGAGTAATTTATGGTATCTAGCCAAAGGTAAAACCCTCTACTAACTGGGAACACTTAAATAAAGCAAATAAAATAACGGAATACATGATGATTTGCAGTCGCAACAGGACTTGATGACATCGTGGAAATTTGTGACTGCCGGGAATTTCTACTTTTATATTGGTTTTTTTTTTCTTTCAGACATTACTGTTGTCCTTGTGATTATCAAACAGTTAAAAATTAAGATTTCTTTGAATGAATTGGTAAAGGACTGGACAAGATGTCCGGGAATCCAAGGATTTGTCCGGTCAGTACCCTATTTTGACCGGACATTGTCAGTTGACCAGCCGTTATTTGCAGCCCTGCATTTAGAAGCATGCCAACCCTTACTGGTTCTTGTAGTTTACAATGCTAGGCAGGATATCTTTGCGGAGGTATTTCAAGTTTTTTTTTTGTGCCAGTATACTTTTGGTATAATTTTGAAAACACATTTGCTCTTAACATAGTATAGAGATTTACTATAATTATTGTTTTGTTAGTTACCTTCAATATTTCATAAGTGCTTAATTTCAGGAGATCATGGATAGCTTTATATTTTTACCCTGTTTAACAATTTAAGGTTAATTACAATGTGATTATTGCCATAAAAAATCTCAATGCGCTCATTGAAACTATTGATTTACAAGAACAATTACAATTGGAGAAATATCTACCCACAATTAGTTAAAACTAGTCGAGGCGGGTAGGTATAATTAAGTTGGGCTTATTACTGGTACCCTAGGCGCGGTGGCCTCATGGTTAGTGCGCTCGACTCCGGATCGAGTGGTCCAGGTTCGAGCCCCTGCCGGGACATTGTGTTTTGTTCTTAGGCAAGACACTTTACTCTCACAGTGCCTCTCTTCACCCAGGTGTATAAATGGGTACTGGCAATTTAATGGTGGGGGTAACCCTGCGATGGACTGGCATCCCATCAAGGGTGGAGTAGAAATACTCCTAGTCGCTTCATGGTACAGAAACCGGAGTTAAGCACTGGCCTAATGGGCCACTAGGCTTGTAAACAGACTTTACCTTTACCTATCACTGGTAATTGCAAAGATTTCGAATTGGCAGCAGTTCAGATTACACTAAGAAAACAGTAGTTCAAATTACCATAAATAATAAATTAAAATTAAAATAGTAAATTAATTTAATGATAATAATAACAGGAAAATAGAGAGAGATTTCACTATACTGGTCGTAGCTAGAGGATTGATAGGGTTTACAAATTTTTAATTATTTCAAGAATGCCAGTTGGTTTAATAACAAGTTGCAAAATCAATATCTAGATCATTTTGGGAAAGTAGACGTGTGTCCGTTACATGCTAGATAGTTTGTATTCAATAAATTTGTTAAAAAGTTTGTTGGTTAAGTTTATTTATAAGAATGATTTAAATTATGGGATGACTGCTCTTGTTGTTAGGAAATTTTTTATACACTTCAAAAATTTGAATACGATAGATTTTCAAATGTAAAGTACATTTTCCTTGTGTACTTTTAGATCTCTACCTAAAACATTTTGATTTTCAAAATTGAGCACTCTCTTATGTGATTATTGGAAGAAAGATGTTCAAAACAGCATATTTTTATGATTTGCTCTACGTTCTAGGGAAAAGAAATCGCTAAGTCGTGAAATGCACGGAGAGTAACACTTTCGGTTCGTCACGTATATCGCATCAAGTCCTCTTGTAATCATCGTTATAACCGACGTAACGCAACATACCGATTAGGACAATTACGTCATCAGCTTAAATCAATGTATTCATTGGTCAGCTATTTTTATCTTTCCCTTGGTATAAAACCTGTTCAATAATATTTTGGTAGCAGACCGAGCAGACCGAGCAAACTGAAGTTTCGATAGAAAGGAAAAATCTTGCATCTGTTACGGTCTTGAGAACTGCAAGGAAATCACTGAAATATGCAGAATCTAAAACTTGTGGTTATAGGAGATGGCGGCGTGGGGAAGTCTTGCTTTCTTATCAGTGCTACGACCAGTCGATTTCCTGGCGACTATGTTCCTACAGTTTTCGATAACTACAATGTAAATCTCCCAGTAAACGGCTCTCCCTGCTCGGTTTCTCTTTGGGATACCGCAGGGCAAGAAGATTACGATCGTCTGAGGTTTCTCTCTTATCCTGGAACAGACGTATTTGTTGTGTGTTTTGATGTGGCAAATCGAAGTTCATTTGAAAACGTGAACGAAAAATGGGTTCACGAGGCGCGTTACTACGAACCCGAGACTCCAATCCTCCTGTTGGCAACGAAGACGGATCTTCGAAACAGCAGGTTTGTCAAGCATTTTTGTCAGTAACGAACGATTCTAGTCCATCTGGCATAGGAACTCCTGGCACCTTAAAGACGAAGGCGCGCTATAAAGAGAGAGGTTGTCAACCAACCGTCGTGTGATGTAGAACTCTTAGGCCCTGTTTACAAGCAGGTAGGGTAAGCCTAGTGCTAGGGTTACCCTGGCAGGAGGGTTACCCTAACGCTCCCACATTTCTTCTTTTTTTCATCGACGCGTTTACAAGGCAGCTAGGGTTACCCTAGCTGCTTTGTAAACGCTCTGCTGGGGATAATTCGCCTACCCGGGACAACTTTTTACTTGTTTCCAGACCCTTTGAACATTGATAACAATGCGTGCAGTTACCAAGCATAGTTAAGTTGTCCTGGGTGGTAGGGTAACCCTACCTGTGAAATTTTGCTTGTAAACCCGCGCTATCTTTGACCCACCTGCTAGGGTAACCCTAGCACAAGGGTTACCCTCCTTGCTTGTAAACAGGGCCTAAGAGTCAAGTCAGCTTGAGCTGTAGCTAATCCAAAGCAGTGAACAGCGGGCACATTCCTCAAAATTGTTTTATGTTTTCATCGCACTACAAGAATTTTTGAGATTTGTATTTCCCTTCTCCAATGGAAACTGTCGTTATTTGTGGCGGTAAATTTGAAATCGAAGTAGGTGGTTCGCATGTTACATCATTGCCACCATGCTGGTGGAAGTAAACATCTCATTAGCTCCCTTTGTTCCCCTACCAGGCACCTAAGGGACCTCTTCTTTTATAGCGTGCCTTTGTGTTTAAGTTCTCAATAGCAATTCTCCCTTCCAGCTGGATTATGATAGCTTTCCTAATGGTTGAGAGAACTTGACGTTTCATCAAAATCACGCTTGGCCGAGAGGTTTGTCTTTCTCATCACCTGTTAACTGGATGATGCTCCTATGCTGTAATGCGTTAAGGCAGCTGTGTAAGTGTGGCGTTCCACCTAAAGACATCGTTGCCATATACTGTGCACTTGTAAGATCTATGTTGGAGTACGCGTCTGCTGTGTTTGCTGACTTGCCAAAGTACCTGGAAAACGTACGTCCAGAAAAGGGCTCTTTCTATTATATGGCCTGACCTTCCATATGATCATACACTTGAAAAGGCCGCCATTTAGACCTTGTTGGTGCGCCGTGCAGCTGTATGCGAGCGGTTTATTCTTAAAATTCGCCGAGGTCACCCCTTATACCCCCATATTCATGAGCGGGTACTTCACAGCACAACGCAAATGTGTCTGCGATCAGGCAAATCTTCTCACCGCACACTTGTCAGAACTGAGCGTCTTCAAAATTTCGCTACCGTTAAGTATCAACCTGTGTAAAGTATTGTGTGTATTTATTCATTTAGGTTTCCAGTGTGTATATTTTTAAAACTGTACCAGTAATTCAGCCTTAGGCTGCAAGTGGTCCGAAATAAACTATATTATTATTATTATAATGAGAAGGAAATATCTAATTCCACCCTTGCTTTACTCACTGTTTGATCCTACATGCAGATGTCAGTATTTGTTTTCCCAGTTGTATCTTATTGAAGTATTTTGGAAACTTGTACCACACCTATCTTTCAACTGCCAGTCAGTTGCAACAAAGAACAAACCGTGCTGGTGCATGAAGAGTTGAGGGTAGGGGGGAGGGTGGGAGTTGGGGAGTAGGGGGGGAGGATGGAAGTTGGGGAGTTGGGGGAGAGGGGTATAAGGGATATGCTCCCTTGTATGATGCAGAGATGCACTTTTAGGCAGAGCATGGTAGCCAGCCTTCTGAAGGATGTGACGCATGTCTCTCTGCCTTCTAGGAGATTTGAGGCAAGGTGGGTGAGGTTTGACAGAGGTCTGGCACTAACAATTGACAGTCCTACTGGTAGACCCCTTGTAGCCCTCTTGCTTGCGTTGCTTAAGGGGGCAAAGAAATGCTTGTGCCAAAGTACTAAAAAGGAGGTTCTGCTTTCAGGCTAATGCTGAGTGAAACTAGAGAATGTAGAATTCACAGATTTTGCAGATGAAAGAAAAAAACCCTTTCCATTAATGTTTATTTATGTCTCACAGGTCCACTGTGTCTACGAGAGAAGGAATGGCTCTTGCTGAAACACTTGGAGTGTCTTATGCAGAGTGCAGCTCCATTACAAACACTGGAGTGCAAGAAGCTCTGAATAAAGCTGCAGAAATGGCTGTTAGTTTCAATACCCAGAGCAAAAGTTCAGCATCAGCAAGAGTTTTGGGCTTATTTAAAAGGAAAAGCAAAAATTCCACATCAGTTAAGGATCAAGAAAATCTTCCCCCTGAACTACCACCAGCAGGTATCAAAAGCTATATTTTCTGTTTTAGTTGGTGAAACACTAGACAATTCTATGATTTTGTATTGAGTTGTAAAGTACGTGCATCTTTGCTGACTGGCATTTCCTGCTGGGTTTCCATGGAGAGCTCTCCTTGCTTCTTGCATGTTTCATCACAATATCTTAAGAACTGATCTTTTTACTATTAATTTGTCACAGGTGGTGGCTGTTTTTAACAGTAAGATGATTAAATGGTTTGCTATCTTCTTTTTAAAGGATTTGCTCCTCATGTGGAGGTACTCAGCTCAACATTTGCCAGTGAATGGAATTGTATGATGTCTGACACAATGAGTGCAGATGTAAGATTTGTATTCTCTGATGGAGAGTCTCTGGAAGCTCATAGAACTGTTCTTATTGCTTCCTCCTCTATCTTCAAGAATGTTTTGGTAGGAAAAATGTCTGCAAACCATAAATCTTTCCAGTACATCTTTGAAGATGTTTCATGGATTTGCGATGAAGCAGATAACTGCCTGAATCTTCCTCACATAGAAGGAAAATGCCAGGGCAAAGGTAAAACTGTAATAAGGTTGCATGAGAGCATTACTAAAGGTGTTTTCTCAGAAGTTTTGTCCTTCCTTTACACTGGATCACCCAATCTATCAGATGATGACGACAAAAACTTTATTACAGAAATTCAAGATGTTGCTAAGAAATTTCAAATGGCATGGTTGATAGATACCTGTACAAACATTCTGTCTGGTGATTCATTCCTTAATCCAAGTATTGGCACTTGGCTAAATGACAACACAGGACAAACAGCTAAAAAGTTGTTTCTGAACAAGCCATTTTTAGCTGATGTCAAGTTCTGTGTTGAGGGCATGGTGGTTTATGGACACAAGTTGATATTGAAAGCAAGGTCGGAGGTCATGGCAGCTATGTTGGGTGGGGCCTTCAGAGAGAGTGACTTGGATACAGAGGTAAGCATATGTTTAGAAGCTTGTTGATTCCAGGTTTACAGTCATTGGGCAGAAATCTGAGATTCTGTAACTTACAGTAGGGATGGAAAAAACAAGGATTAGGTAAGATGTTTATCAGGTCTCTAGGTTCAATTAAAGGGAGAAGATTTAATGTAACAAAAACTTTTCAATTTAGTGGGCTGTACAGTGAAATGAAGCTCATTAAATTGACTAGTCATGGTGCACATACTAACTGAGAGGTATGATAAATAGGTTTATAACAGATTTTACTTCCTACAACTTATATTGATTCCTTAAAGATTGAGATTAGAGACACTACCCTGCAAAGTTTCTTGGCACTGCTGGAGTACCTCTACACTGACCACGCCCCTATAGAGGAGGGAGATTCAGTAGAAATAATGGTTTTAGCAGACCGATTCTGTCTTCCAAGACTTGTGACAATGTGTGAGTTGTACACCACCAAGAAAGTTGATTCTTTGATACAGAAAAGAGTAGCTGATGGTACAAAAGATGTAATAAACCTCCTCCTCACATCACAGGTGAGACCCAAGTTTATTCAGAAGAATACAATGGCAGGAATTAAAAAAAATTCATTGTCCTTATTGTTGCTTAAAAATTTTTAATTTACTTAATGATTCAAATGAAAGAAATAGAATTTGGCAATGGCATATTTATATAGTGGTTCTTCATCCGGTGCTTTGATTCTCAGTCAAAATGGAATTTGGAATCACAATGATGGTTTTTTTGGAGTACAGTCGAACCTTGATTATTGGGACTCGGCGGGACCTCAGTAAATAATCCGGATAATTGAGAGTCCAGATAATCAAAAATATGAAATAGATAGAAATGTAAACAAAAGGTATACAGCAAAGAAAACATCATTTTAATTGTGAAATCTACACAGCTTGTATGTACTACAAATAAAAACTTTCAATTCAAGCTTGAAATTCCCTTGGCAACAAAACAATTGAGCTAATCAGATATCAGCTGAATGATTTGTGAATTTGAGTTTTCACGATCACGACTAATTAAAGTTCATGAAAAAATTGGGACCAGAGATAAAAGTCTGGATAATCAAATAGTCTGGATAATGAAATAGTCTGGATAATCAAGGTCCGGATAATCAAGGCTCGACTGTATGGAAAATCATAGAACCTGGCATGGGGAAAAGCCAACTTAACCCAGGTATAACAGCAAATTCTCTCAACTTATCCCTGTAGAAATGAGAGCCAATGGAAGATAAAAATTTCTAATAATAGCTTGGAAGTTATAGAGCTAATTGATTGTTCCTTACTTAAGTGACAATTTCAGGTTCAGTCACATTATTTTCACTTTTGGAAAATAGTCTTTGTTTAGGAAATGCAGTCTGGAGCAATTTCCAATAATCTGTGTGAAGAAAGTAATGAGATTGCAAAGGTTCTGCTTCACTTTGCCATTTGATTGGTCCAAAAAACTTGCGCCACTTTTTTAACCAATCAGATTCAAAACAAAAACCAGTCATGACTTGTGTTTTCCTGCACTTTAGCCAGTTCGCAAGTGTTTTCATTTCAAGTAACTAGTTCTCATTGGGGTGTCATTAATGTTTTCAGCAGGAGGGCAAATAGTTTTCTCAGGCGGGCAAAACTTTTTGAGCTGAACTTCTTTATAGGATAAACTATCCTCCAGGTCATCAAACCAGGGGGGGCAAAACTGTCCTCGTAACTGGTCAATTTGCCTGGTGCCTGGCACCTAATGAAACCCCTGCCTATACTTTATTGGTAGTTGTGATTGCTTTAGTTTTAGTTGTTAAAACACTCACTTGAAAAGTGCTCTTATTAACCGCCTCCCGGTTAGCTCAATGGATAGAGCGCTGGACTATTGTGCAGGAGGTAGAGGGTTGGAGCCCCGGCCGGATCAACACTCAGGGTCTTAAAATAATTGAGAAGAATTTGCTACCTTTCTATAACATCAAGAAATGGTTAGATATTCTAGTCTTCTTGGATAGGGACGAATAAATGGAGGTCCTGTCTCCTGCAGGGTTGGGGGTAGGAGACGTTAATTTCCCATGCACAAGATTACTGTGTGATGGACGTCCTCCTCTGGGGTGGGATGGGTGGGATATTGGGCGCACTTAATTTGGAGCCTCACTCTGTTGTGC